TGAGTGGAGAGCGTGGGGTCATTTGCCTTCCATGGCCGTGGATGTCACTGTCTGCAAACCGGGGGAGACACCGTGGTTCGGTGGCAGCAGTGACCCTCCTCCAGGAGTGCCCTTCAGAAACCACGGTCCTCCTCTCGCCCCCCCTGCTGACCCCCACTCTGAGAGCAGCCCCGCTGCACAGAGGGGGCCTGGGGGTCAGAGGGACAGGGACAGTCTCGGCGAGCCCGGCTCTGGGAGGCTGCCCAGGGTTGAAGCCCAGGGTCCTGGGTGCTCGTATAGGTCTCCTGTCCCCCGTGACGGTCTCCAGGAAGAGGAGGGTCCCTGTGAGCGGGGCGGGGGGGGTCAGGCCCTCCCTGCAAACCCCCAGCTCCTCTCTGGGCCACTTTCCCCACTCCTGGGGGGTGACAGGCAGGTGGCCGCACAGGCCAGGCCTCAGTGCACCCTGGAGACCGTGGCTCATCTGCCGCATCTCCTGCCAAGGGCGGGGAGGGCGGGGTGTGGGGGGAGCAGACACCGACCGAGAAGGTCAAAGCCCACCACCGAGAAGCTGAAAGCTTTTCCGTTTGAACCTATGACAAGATCTGTGACAAGTCTCTGAAAGACGGGCATTAGACATTATTCCATGTTGTTCCAGGGGAGATGACCTCATGCCATAATCACAGACCTGCTCCGCGCCTTGGAGACGGTCAGGATGCTGGGCTGTCCTCCCCGCCTGCCACGCTGGCAGCTCCAGGCTTCACGCTGACCACCTCTGTCCACCTCGGTGGCCTTCGGGAGGGACAGAGCCGCAGGGCCCGGGGACAAGCAGCCGCCTGAGCAGCTGTGTCCCCAACGGTGAGCGCGGGTAGTGGTGCCTGCACGCCGAGCAGGTGTCGGGCGAAGACGGGGACCCTCCATGCCAGGGCGCCGGCTCCCTCACTGTGCTCGTGATAGGTGGGCAACCACTGACGTGCAGATGCCCACACTCACACTCGCTGAGTCACACCCAGTCACACACACGTGCACTCACACTGTCACACAGTCACACACAGCCTAACACAATCACGGTCACCCACAGTCACCCACACTCACACTCAAACACTCACAAGCCACAACTCACAGCCATGCACACTCACACACACACACAAGGACATGCAGTCCACACGGTCCCCGGGCGCTCCTCTGACGTGAACTCTGGGTGTCCATCTCCGAACTGGGGCCTGCACCCCCACCAGGGCCAGGCCTCCCGACCTGTGCCCCACTCTCCAGTGCCAGCAGGATGCCTGGAGTGCCCTGGGTCGCCCGTGGACACTTAGTCCACTGTGACAACCAGAACTGTGTAGGTGTCCTCTCAGCTGAGAGGTGCAAGGCTGAGGAGTGTCTCTCACCTGTGCTCCCTCCGACCCAAAACCCCACCTGGGACAGCAGCCCCCGGGGGGCAGAGCCCAGGGCCCCGAGGGCCCGGGCCATGGCCACCTCTCTGCAGGTTCGGGGCTTGGTGGGCAGCCAGCAACGACCCAGCGCTGTTCAGTGGCTCCCGGGGCTGACATCTCCCATGCAGTGTGGTGACACGGACATCCACGAGTCACCATGTTCTAAAGGAAGGTAATTAATATTTAGCTCTGCCAGAGGGAAGCTCTTGGGGAGAAACCATCTCTTAGTCAGAGGGCTGATATTCGTTAGCTGGAGGGCAAGACTAATTAGACGCCTGGGGAAGATGACGAGGAGCCAGAAACAGCGTGGCAGCTCCGCAGTGACTTCCCGCGGGACGCTTAAGTGCCAGGCGGCGCGGGCAGGGGCTGGCCCGCACACAGACGGGACTCTTATTCTCCACGCACGTCTGGGCTCTGAGGGCTGGGTACCAGGTGCAGGGCCGACCGGGGTGCCCCTCACTGGCCTCTCCCCTCCTCGGAGCCGGTCCTAATCCAGCAGGGCTGGCGGCCTTAGGACAAGGGCAGGGACCGGTGCTCTCTCCAGAGCCCGAGCAGGCCAAGGCCTTGGTCAGGGACCTCCGGCCTCCAGGACATGAGCATCGCTGTGGTGAACCTCCCGGACTCCAGTCATCTGTTTGGGAGCCGGAGCTGGTGAAGCCTCTCTCCACCCACCCTCCCAGCACAAGAAGCATCTAAATACTCCCCCGCCCAGACTCAACTGTCTGCCTGCAGTGCTGGGGTACCCCCTACACGGTGCCCTCCATTCTGGGGAAGGGTCCCAGTGCACACGCAAGCCTCCAGCCAGGAACCTAAGCGCCACGCCCAGTGCCCCCTAACCCCACCTGCAGTCTGCTCCGCCCGGCGCCCAGAGACTCCGCCCAGCGCCACCAGCCCTCGCTGGCCTCTCCTGACCTCTCCTGGCCTTCTGCTGCGGCCCCCTCACTGGGGTCCTTTGTCCGTTCCTCCCTCCCTGCTGGTCCCAAATCCACCCTCAGACCACTCCCAGTGAGCTTCCCAAAACACGCCCACGACCACAGACTTTCCCTCTGGAATTGCCACCCTCCCGCCCCGTGCCCTGCAGGACAGTGGCCAGCCCCCGAGCCCTGCGTCCCCAGTGCCACACTTCGCTCTACGCCGGCCCCAGTACCTGCTCCTGCAGCACCGCCAGCACCGTGTCACTAGGCGGGACCCAGACCCACCCTGCCCCCACAGGCTCACAGGCGTACATGTGCACACATGGATGCATGTATGTGCACGACATGTGTGGGAGCACATACGCCCTCCAGCTGTTCTGCTTGGGGCCGTGGCTCTGACCCCCAACAGCGCTCCCTGGGCCCCGGCAGCCCCGCCCCAACGGACTGCGACCTGCTGTCCTGCGTGTCCTAAGGGTCACCTTGTATTCCTGTGGCAAGAGGTCGGCCCTGGAGTTGAAGGGACCCCGCCCTGGAGTCCCAGGCAATGTCCGTAAACCCCTGACGGCCCTCTAGGGCCCCTCGTGTCCCTGCAGTCAAAGCCGTCCTTCTAACACGGCGAGGCTGACATTTGCACAGCTGGCCCTAGAGCAAGGACAGGTGAAGCCACTCCCACCACAGCAGCAGTGGGGGCAGGGGACCGTGGCGTCCGGCGCACTGATGGTCACCGGGCTCTTCGCTGCCACACCCACCGGTGTCACTGGAGGATGCCCTTGATGAAGCAGAAAAAACAGTGGTGTCACCGCCTCTGTCCCCGACCGCACATCTTCTCGCTGCTCTGTGTGAGGAAATGGGGGGACCCAGACAGCGGCGTTGTCAGGAGGGCAAGCTCTTAAGTGACTTTAGGAGTCACAATGCAGACCTGCCACTTTGTGGACGAAACTCCGCCGGGACCCGGCAGCTGACGAACCGTGGTGTTTCTAACACAGACACTCGGCAAGCTTCTTGAGAACGCACAAATGGGCCTGTTTGTTCAGGTAAACTGAGGGCGTCTGCTGCCAGTGATCATGTCTGAGGTTCTGAGCAAACAGTAGAATTTTGGAAAATGCGTGTCCATCACCACGTGCCAGGCTGAGAGCTTTCTGAGACTTCTCTGATGAGGTGGGTGCAGAACAGATGTTCCGGGCTTTGCACTGTGAAACGGGGCGGTGTTCGGCGCCCCTGGCAGCTCAGCACGAAGCACTCCCGACAGGCCGTGCACACCCACCCAGGAGTGAGAGGCCGCTCACGGAGCATGACGAGAGAACAGGTTTAGCCGTGTGTGAGCCGTGTGAACAGGTTTAGCCAAGTGAGCCGTTTAAGAAGCTCACCTGCAGAGACAAAGGTGCCGCTTCAAAGACGAAGGTCAAAGCCACCTGAAAAGGCCTTTACAATTCTAACTGCACAGCTATGCGAGGCTGGACCGTTTCACACCCCACGGATGTGCCGCCACAGATTAACCGCAGGAACAGGGAACTCCAGCGTCTTCCAAAAGGCCAGACGCTGATAAAGCCAGAGCTTGGAAAATATAAACTAACAATGTTCTTTCTACTAGTTCTTGCTTTGGAAAAAATATAGTTTATCTGCTAAAATGCGTTACTTAAGGTAATATGTAATGGTTGTATGAGTGTTATTTTTAATGAAATTATCATTATTTTAAAATAAATTCATTAAAAACAATATTTTTAACATGGGTCCGCTCTCCTTTCTAATGCGGTGAAGAGCAGTAGGTGGGACCCGCACACCCCAAAGCCCTTTGGGGCCCTCGGTGAGTGTTAGGAGGATGACAGCGTCCTGAGACCAAAACCGAGGGACACCCTGACTTAGTCCCCACCCACAGCAGCAGGGGCACCTCCTCCAACTCGTGAGAAACGCAGACTCCCAGGCCCCACCGCCGACCTCCGGGACCCAGTCCCGCACCCACCCCAGTGCTCGCGGGGCTCTGACAAGTTCAGTGTGCAGAGGGGCGCTCCCCGAAGCGCCACAGTGTCCGGCCCTCTCCAGCTCCGAGGCCTGGTGGGCTGACACTTCTCTTAGTGTGGTGACATTTCCCTCTGGGGACGTCAACTCCCCAACACGCAAACTCGAGTCCAGAAATAACCCCAAAGCAAAGCGTCCCGGGTCAGCCCCACCGGGGCAGGTCTGGGGAGCATGGGCCCCTGCGAGTTGGAGGTTCTGGGTGGGACACAGGGTCTTCGGCCGAGGGGCCTGCGTCAGGCACAGATGAGCTGGGGGATGGGCAGAGCAGGGACACAGAGCTAGGCAGGAGCACCAGGGTCCTGAAGGGCCACCGCTAGCCAACACAGGGAAGCAGGTCCCGGTGCAGGGTCTGGGGGTGCTGCTGAGATACGACATAAAACAGAGCCCAGCACACGAGTGCTCGGCGACCACCAGGCGCCGGGCAGAGGCTGGAACACATGCTACGTCACGGCCTCTGCAGGACCCGACCCTGCCGACACCTCGATCTCGGCCGTCCTCAGCTGTTCAAGCTGCTGGCCCTGACATCATGCCCTGGCCACCTGAGTGGAACCACACCACCACCCAGGACATGTGGTGGCTCCTGCGTACAGGGGAGGACGTGGGAGGTCTGGCAGACGAAGAACTTGGCCCAGGCCGCATGGCCCGGCCCAGTGGACAGCGGAGCTGGACACCAGCTCGCCTCTGCGGCGGACCCGCCACACCGCTGGGCCCGTGACCTTCGGCAGGTCACCCTCTCCTGATCTCCCGGGCAGCAGGCATCCAGTCTAGCCCGGCTGGGAAATGCAGCTGACCCCTGGCCACGGTCACCCCTGCAAAGAGCTGAGTCAGTGGTACGTGGACGCCTCGGGGAAGGGGACGCAGAGGCCAAGGGCCCTCAGGCGTGTCGGCCAGCAGGGAATCAGGAAGTAGGGCCCAGCTGCCCGAGCTGAGAGATTTCTTAAACGGCGGCCACTTCCCCCCTGCTTTCCCTTCTGTAACCACCCTCCTGCCCTGCGTGTTGTCAACAAACCTGGCCCTCCGACCAGACAGCCGGGGCAGCAGCGAGCAGTCTCCACCCTCTGGGGAGGCCGGGCCGGCCCCCCACCCCCACCCCGGGCAGAAGCCCTGCAGGCAGAAAGGCCCAGAGCCCAGCATCACGGGGGGTGGGGAGCTGCTGTCCCCGAGGGCACTACTAAAGTCCAGTCCTGACTGCTCAGCAAGGGTCCGCCCGGAGCAAGCAGCTGTCAGAGGAGGAGGCCATTGGAGACCCTGGGGGTGGCTTTGCTGGGGCCCTTCTCGCTCTGCACCTCCCAGCAGCCACCTGTCCCATCCTCCTGGAGTCCTCCTCCCGAGGGTGACCCAGAGTGGGACACGGGGCTACAGGGCCGCAAGGGGTCTCAGCAGGCCCCCCCCTCCGACCTGGGCTGCAGCAGTGCACGCAGGCCTGGTGGTCTCTGCTCTGCCGGGGGAGGGGCAGGAGAAGTCGGAGATCATAAGGGAGGAGCAGAGCGCTCCCCCAAACACGCCGAGATTCACTGGGGCCCAGGATGTGCGCCCGTGTGTGCCGGGCGGCAGCATTCAAGTGAGGAATGTCGGAACCACACACACGTTTCTTACATACATCAGTGCCTCTGAGCCTCACAGCACTCCCGTGCGGCAGAAACCGTGTGGACGCAGGGATGGGGAAGCAGCCTCAAACCGGCTCGGGGACTGTGGGCCCCCCGGGGTGCCCTGCGGTGTCACGGAGCCTGTCTTGCTTCAGGATGGGTCTCAGCTACCAGGCAGCACCCGCCTGTCTCTAAGAGCTTCCACACAGGTGCGTCCACAGGTAACAGCCAACACCCAGCCTGCTCCCCTCCCTCCCTCAACCAGCTGGAGCCCAAGCTGCTTCCTGCGTCTGTCCATCTGTCCTGGGCAGGAGACAGTGCCACCCACTGCACACCCGCCTGCCACCGCCCTCCTGTTCCTGCCGACGGAACAGTCATCCCTCAGTCTCATCTGCCCCCGATCTTCCCTCCTGCTTCTAATTTTTCAGCCTTTACTAATCTCTGAGGGCAGTGGCCTGGGGGTGGGCGACATGTGGGGGGCAGAGAGCACAGTTGGAGACGTCGGCGGTGTCCTTGGTTTTCCGCTTCCAAATAGCACCAGCCCCACTGTGTGGGGTGAGGGAGGAGGCGGTCCGCAGCCCAGATTGGGGGAGGGCAACTGGCACGTGAAAGGCTCCAGATGAACAGGCCCAGAGGCGGCGTCCCCGGGGCCAGCCCTCGGCCGGCGCCCCAGCCCCAGTCTGCCCTTGGCCGCTCCCCCGGCCTTTCCTCGTCTGCAAACCCCCTCGGCCTCATGAATCAGATCCTCTCCCAGGCTGACCGCCCTCCCCACCCACCCTGGGGTCCTCTGCAAAACCTGACAAGTGTCCTGTCCGCCTCCGCCCTCAGTGTTTTGACCCTGGCAAGCAGGCCTGGGCTTGTGAGACCCTCTCTGTGAGGGTAGGCACTGGGGGCTTTGGTCCACCCAGCCTGGGGCCAGGATCTCTGGACAAACACCCTGTCTTCTGGTGGTGGCAGGGGACAGGTCCCGCGGAGCAGCCGAGCAGCCTACCCGAAGTCAGGATGGGTGACGTCCATCCTTCTGCTGCAGCCTGCAGCCACGTCACTGCCTGGGAAGATGGGACAGGGGAGGACCGGTCACCAGAAGCTCCAGACCCCCAACAGCTTGCCCCTGTGCCGTGCCCACAGTGGCCGACACCCGCAGGGTGGCATGGGGCCAAGTGTGGAAGCAGAAGCAGGCCTGCGCTCCTCAGAAAGCCCCGTGTCCCCTCCAGCCACCTCCGCGTCATCGCCTTTCCCGGGCACCACCTCCGGCCCCTCACAGGGCTGATTCCAGCCAAACCCCGGGGACCCTCCCGCTGGCTGGTCATCGTCACCACCCCGGGTTTTCTGGACACGCATGTGTCTCTCTCCCACCTCCTCTGCTTCCCAACGGAAAAGCTCGCTCCCCAGTCCTGGCCTCTGCCCCCCAAAAGTAGCACTTCGGAGGGACTTGAACGATGAAGGTTTTGTGTCCTGTTTTCATCTCACACAGTTGGGAGAAAATAATAAAGAAATTCTCTCCTGCCCTGTCTCGTGTGGCCAATGGGTTGGTCCTCATTTAACAAGCAGAGGGGTTGTGGGTTCGATTCCAGGCCGGGGCACAGGCCTGGGTTGTGGGCCAGGTCCCCAGCAGGGGGCGTGTGAGAGGCAACCGCACATGGATGCTTCTCTCTCCTTCTCTCTCCCTCTTTCCCTTCTGTCTAAAAATAAATAAATTAAATATATGTTTTAATTTTTTTTTTAAGAAAGTCTCTTTTAAGAGATGAGAGCAAGGTGGTGGCACCTTGAGCAAGGGTCCGAGAGCCAAGTCACACCCTCTGGAGAAAACAGGGCGTCGGGTCCCATGGCCCCCCCAGCCTGTCAGCATCTGAGAGAGAGCTGAACCCCCGGAGGTCGCGCAGCCCCTCTGCCATTCTACCTGTCGTTGCCAAAGCCACAGGTCCCCAGAGGAGGTCCGTTTCAATTGCAGTCCCAAGGACTTCACGCAGGACGGACTCCCTGAGCCGGGGCCGACCAGACGGGGGCTGAGGCTGCAGAGGGTCAGGCGCTCGGGCCCCGGCTGCGCTGGCCCCTCTCCTCACACTGACCCCTGCCTCCTGGATGCCAGCCTGCCTGCAGCCGCTGACCAGTCCTTCCTGCTAGAAGGTCACCCGCCCTTTCTCTCCAGCCCCAGTTGGATGAGACCAGATGACCCAGACACTGACACCACATAAGCGCCATCAGCTCCTGCCTGGTTCCTGGAGGTGAACAGGGAGGAGATGAAGGAGGTGTCCCCCTGGGGTGGGAAGCTGAACCTCAGTCTCTTCAGCCAGGGTTCTGGGGGACCCATGGAAACAGAACGAAGCGTTCGGTCACCCCGCAGCCAGCAGCCGAGCCACCCCAGTCCCGTGGCCCGCGGTTCCTGGCAGCCGCCTGCGATCAGGAGGGAGCCCAGAGCGGCTCACACGGCCCACACCTCCGACGCACCCGGCTCTGCTCGCCCTGCGGTCTCCGGGCTGCCGGGTCTCCTTCCGCCCTAGAGGAATCTCAGAAAATGGTGCAGCCCGTCCCCAGCGCCCCTTCCCGCTCCCGGGCTCCCTCAGTCTTTCCATCTCTGCGTCGGCCTTACTGGGCCAGCCCTCGCTCCTCTCCCTCCCTCTCCTCCTCCCACCCTTCCCTCTCTCTATTTTTGTCTCTCCTTCTCCCCGCAGAGGGAGCTCTGCTTTCTCGGCCCCTCTCCCCAGATGAGTGTCTCAACATCGACTAATGTTAACTTCATTAATTTGGGGGAAGTCGATCAGTGCAGAGGTTAATTGTCTTCCCCTGACACGTTTTTTATGGAGTACATCTGGGTGACAAAAATTAATTTCCTCATTAGCTATTTCCGAAAGTGGAACAAGCTCAGGGGGAGATCAGGGCGGGGGTGTGAGCTGCTCGGTCCAGCTGCCCAGGCCCCGCCCGGGTCCCCTCCCCAGGGTGACAGGGCACTGGGGTCAGGGGTCAGGTGCCAGAGGGATTTCTGGAAAGGAGGGGAGCCCTGAGGTCTGAGTTCTGAGATGGGTCCCCCTGGTCCCTCCCAGGATCTGCAAGGAGCCAGGCCAGGAGCCACTCCTGGGCCCGGTGGCCAGGTCTTGGGACGCACCCTGGCTGCTCCAGACACCCCCTCCCCTCGACAGAACCCTGCCTCCCCGTGGGACACCCAAGGCTCAGGTCTTCAGGGTGCAGTAGGAACAGCAGGCGGACAAGGACGGTGCATCAGTAAACGCTCAGCTCAGAGACAAGCCGCGCTGAGCCCCAGGACCGGCCCTTGTGCGCTCCGGAAGGACGGTGGCCACCAGCCCCAACAGGGTGGCTCAGGAGTGTGCCCCCACCCCAACCCCACACCAACGCTGGAATTCAGAGTGGGGACATCACGGAAAGGCCACCTCATGGGGAGGCAGGGGTGTCACAGAGCCAACAGCTGTGGGGCGCTGGGCCCGTCACTCGACTTCTGGGGCCTCGGCCTCCTGGGTCACGAAGGGGCCAGCTGCCCCCACTGCCTGCACTCACTGTGACTCCGCACTCACAGATCTCGGGAAGCTCCTGGCCACCAGACCCGCAGCTGTCCCAGCCGCCCTCGCCCTCTGTATCCCTCCCTCCTTCCAGGTGACCCTTCCCGTCAGTCCTGATGGCACAGGACAGAGGCCATCAGGACTTGGAGGCCTGACAAGACAGGAGTCCAGAACTTTCCGAGCCCGTCCAGCTCCCGCACGGGAGGCTGACAGGCCAGGGCTGGGTCAGGTGCTGGCAGAGAGACAACACGCGGCATCGAGGGCCAAGGCCAGGTCAGGTCCACAGCCCCTTCCTCCGGGGCCCAGCCCCACCTCAGGGCCGACACTGACCCTGGAACCACCTGGCGCAAATCTGGGGGGGGGGGAGTCTTGTCTCTCTCCCCGCCTCCCTGCGGCTCCTGGGGCCTCCAAGACCCGTCCTCCAGGCCTCAGGTCTCCCTCAGGCTCCCCTCCCCACCGGCCCCTGCCCCCTGCCCTCTGCGCCTCTGGGACCCCTGGGAGGGGAACCCGGGCGGAGCCTGGGCAGCTGGACGGAAAGCTGATTGTCAGCCCCACCCTGGCCTCTGCCCCTCCTTTCTAGGAAACGGGGCGGCATGGGACTGGTGAGGATACAGACCCTGAATTTCCTGTTTCTATAAACTGAGATATCACACTTTGCTGGGCTGGGGCAGGGCGAGGGGAGGAGGGGGAGGTGGAAGAACGCTCCCCAGAGACCGGTTCTGGCCCAGCCCAGAGAAACCGCCTCTCCACAGCGATCTCAGGGACAGGAAAAACCAGACCCCGGCGCTGTCTGAGTGTCACCAGTCAGCCTGGGGCGGGGACCCAGGGGCTGGGCCCCTCCCCTCCACTTCTCCTGCTCGCCTGGGCCTCTCCTTTCTCATGGTCCCTCCCCCGCCCAAGACCGCAGCTCAGCTGGGGCAGGAGGATCCGCAGCTCTTCCCCGAGCCTGCCGCTCTGGCCGCCCACCGCCCGCCAGACTTGTGCTGAGGCCACACTGCGGGGCCTCCAGGAGCTCTGGCGTCCGAGAGCAGCTCCTGGACTTTATAGGCAGGATGCGGTCACACGCCGTCAGGAGCCCCATCCAACCTGCTTTGAGCCCAAAAGGGCTTCTCCCTCCACCTGTCTCCGGTCCTGTGCCAGGGCCCCTCCCCGATTCCAGACCTCCTGGGGCGGGGGAGGCGTCTGGCAGTGAGGTGGGACAACGCCCCAGGGCGCCTCACAACCCCCTGATGCTGAGCCCGAGGATGAGGAAATGCAGGGGGAGGGGGGAGGCTTCCTGGCAGGGGCGGTCATGGAGTGGGGTTCTGAAGGATGAAGAGGAGTCTGCTGGGCCGATCAGAGGAGAAGGGTATGCGACAAGGTGGCGGCAGGTGCGGTCTCTGCACCTTGAAAGGAGCCTGGTGACTGGGGACCGTGCAGCTGCTGTGAACGCTGACACCCACACTTCCGAAAGCAGAGGAGTGTGGGCAGATGTGCAGGGGCACTGGCTCTTTCTGCCGAGGGGTGCGTCAGGCAGTCTGGCTGCATGCCGGTGGGGAGACCCCTTGGGAGGCAGGACAGAGCCCAGGCCGCAGCAAAGAGCCGCGGGGACACTGTGAAGGGACACAGGGACACAGCTATCGGGGGTGCTGCTTCTAACGGGATCCCCTTCTCTGAGAAACAGAGCGGAGATGCGGCAGGATTCTCAGAAAACCTCAGGGAGGAAAGGGGAAGGCTGGCTCCTGGCCTGTGAAGTGGTTTGCAGGAAAGTTCGATCTCGAGCCGTCGTGGAGCTGGGGAACGGAGGTAGAGAGGGGCCCCACATCGCAGTCAGTCAGCGCCTGCTCCAGGAATGGTTCTCCGATCGCCTGGACTCCCACCGCGGACCACAGGCCTTTGATGTGGGCGCCGAAGCTGCACGCGCCTTCCTGCAAGTGCACCTGGGCCCTGCATCGCTCCACATGTGGGCGTCTGGGCGCCTCCAGGTGCCCCGCCCGAAACACACCGCCTCCCGAAGCCGGCGGAGAGAGTTGAGTTGTTCAGGAGGAGGGTCTGCGCGCAGGCTGAGGCCGGAAAGGAGACTGGGGGCCCCACGGCCACAGCCCTGCTGCCCGCGGCTCTGTCCCACCCGTCCCCATCCATGCTCTTTTGTGCCATCCGTTGAATGGCGTCTGTCCCCTACAGGGAGCGCTCTGAGGACAGAGCCTGAACGGGGCCACCATCGCGCGTCTGTGCCCAGGCTCCCCTGGGATGGGTGGGTAGCCATGTGGGGCTTGCCCCAGAAAGCCCTGGGGTGCTTCCCGAGGGCTCCCTGCCTGCGCCCACCGCTCCCCTTGCTCCCAGCTCCTGTATCTGGAAAGAGCAGGCCCTGGTCAGCTGTCTCGTCATCGCTGCCTGGAGCCGCTCTGGCCGGCGGGGCTGGAACGCAGGCCCCTCGGGTGGGGACTCCCAGAGCTGGTCCCCAGAGCCACCCTGAGAGTCACGGGCATCCAAAGCCAAGGTTTCCTTGTGTTCCACGCCCTGTGGCTTCCCAGAGGGGCAACAGGAGGGCGTCTTGCTCTCCGTCCAAAGGCTGGGCGCTTGGGGAGGTGGGCGCAGTCCACACCTAGTGGGAAGGACCCAGACCTGCGGCAGTGAGGAGCAGGGATAACTTCTCAGGACTTCAGATGTTTTCTCGGGCACACTGTGAGCATGACAACGGTTTGAAATAGTAAAGGAATGTGTGCCTTTGCTCGCCAAAGGGCCTCTGCGGGGCTGACGGGGTTCAGGGGTGATCACGGCGCTCTGCTCACGTTGTCTGACCGGCTGCAAAGTCTTCAGCCACTCCCAGTGGCCCTTCGGATGCAGTGGTTGTGCTTGTCTCTACTCAGTTTACTGAGGGCTGTGCTACGCACTTTGCACGTGCAGTTGACCTTAAACAGCTCAGGGGTGGGAGTGCCACCCCCTGCCCTTGCCATGTAACCACAGTCGACCTTTTCCCCCTCAATCCCAACCACGGATCCAAATACAGTGGGCCCTTGAGCAGCAGGGTGTGACCTCACAGGTCCTCTCACACATGGATTTTTAAATCGGCACAGAAGTGGGCCCTCACTAGCTCAAACCCACATTGTTAAAGGGCCAGCTGTGTTACCCCAAGTACAAGGAGAGGTCATGGAACCCATTACACAGGTGGGAAAACTGAGGTGTGGAGAGGGGCAGGGACTTGTCTGAGCCCCCAGGGCTCTACACCATCAGAGCAGGGGTGAACCCCAACCTGCCGAGGCCACTGTCAGCAGCCGCTCCCTTTCACGGTGACCGCCAGCTTTCTGCCCCCCTCCACATCTGATTCCCACGGTTCAGGTCCCACTCACTGCTCCAGGGCACCCCACCACCTCGCACGGGCCCTGAGTGTCTGATTAGGGCACCTCTGCTCCTCCCCAGCTGGGCGGCACCCTTACTGTTCATTCCTCTGCTTCCTCCAGGCGGGGACCCCTGAGGGCCAGGACGGGAGGGCCCCTTGCTTCATCTAGCATGGAGCCTGGGACTCACAAAGGTGGGCAGTAAAGACGCGCAGGATGAATCATTTAGTTCCTCACTGGAGTATCGTTTTTATTCTTCACAAAACTAATAAAATCCACCAATGAAGCCTAGAGTGCTGCTTCTCACGGGAAGAGTCAGGTACAAGCTGGGTCCCTGCTTGGAGGCCCCAGCTCTGAGGGTGGGGGGCAGGGGTGGGGCTGTCGCTGAGGGCCCGTCGATGAGGGCCCCTCCGCGTGGTGGCCCCTCTCCAGGCTGGAACCCGTCCTCCCCAAGGGACTGACTGGACCGTTGAAGACACTGAAGACTCTGCACTAACCCAGAGCTCACCAGTGTTCTGGGCGCCTTTGAGACAGGTCCCCACAGAAGATGGTGGACAGGCCCACTCCCAGGTTTCCAGGTGGGGGAGCCCGCTGCCACATTGGGGGCTTTCGCTCTGGAAATGCCAGAAAATAAAATTGTAAAATGTGGCCACGATGTGCTGTCCAGGGCCCCTGGGAGCTCACCACTGTTTCACCTCAGAGAGAGCCCGGGGCTCCCCGCCAGCACAGCAGAGCGCCCCCGCCTGGGGTTCTGTTCTGACTTCCCAATGCACGGCGCCACTGACTTTGGCTTTGGTGCGTTCAAAACAAAGATTCCACACACCCCCGCCCCCGCCCCACACGCACTGCACACACACGGCACACGCTCAGGTCACCGTGAACACGTGGCGCTCTCAGCGTCTCACTCAGGGCTGGGGACAGCCGCCGGGAGGACCAGAGACGCTGCCCCTCCCACCCACCCCTGTACCCCGCCCCCACGCTGCAGGGAGCCACCCTTGCAGGCCCAGCAGCGGCTGGTGAATCAGCCAGCCCCGAGGCGGCTCCCAGTCACCGTACTGGCGGAGCCGAGGGAGGGACCAGTAGCAGCTGGCAGGAAACGAGTGAGAGCAGTGACCACAGATAAACTGTAGGCCCACAGAGCGGCACGGGTAGACCTCGGGGCAGGAAGTGGGGCTGTCAGGCCTCAGCCCAGTCCTGCTCTCTGGCCACTCCCGGGGCCTCTGAAGGCGCCCGCCCCATAAGGCTCAGGGACCTGGCTGTGGGTGGTGATGCACCAAGGAACCGGTGGCTGGGGGCTGCCATCCCAGGCGCCGAAGGCCACCATTGGAATGAGCTGGCCTGTGACAAAAGGACAGTGGGCTAGGGGCCAGCCACATGTCAGGACCGAATTAGCTTCAGTCTGGGCATTTTTTTAAATTCATTACATGCTGTTTTAATCTTTTATTTTTTAATATTTTTATTAATTATGCTATTATAGTTTTCCCAATTTTTCCCCCTCTATCCCCCCTCTGCCCTGCCCCCCAACCCTCCAGCATTTCCCCCCTTAGTTCACGTCCGTGGGTTGTACATAGAAGTTCTTGGAGTTCACTGGTTCCGACACCATTTTTATCTCTCCCCATGTATTTTATGCCTACTAATTATGCGGCTTCTCCCCGTACCTTTTCCCCCCTATTCCTCCCTCCCCCTCCCCACTGACATTCCTCCATGTGATGTCCATTTCTCTGATTCTATTCCTATTCTGGCTGTTTGTTTAGTTTTTGTTGTTTTTCTTTTCTTTTTGGTTCGTATGTCGACGATAGTTGTGAGTTTGTTGTCATTTTGCTGTTCATATTTTTGATCTTCCTTTTCTTAGATACGTCCCTTTAACTGGTGCCCCCCCCCCCCCGCAAAAGTGACCAGTCCTGGGGGTGGCGGGGAGGGAGCGCTGAGCAGCCCAGGCGGGAGGTGCTGCCTTTCCCAGGGCCTGGCCCAGCGTCTCCAACACTCTGACCCCTTTTCGGCCAGTCCGAGGGGCCGGCCCTCAGCCCCTGGCATGTTCACAGACACCCTAGAACGTATGTCAGATTATCCCCATTTTTTTTTTTTTGCTTTATGTATGTATTTTTAGAGAGAGAGGAAAGAAGGAAGAAAGAGAAACATTGATTGGTTGCCTCTCACAGGCCCCCACACTGGGAACCTGACCCACAACCCAGGCATGTGCCCCGACTGGGAATCGAACCTGAAACCTTGTAGTTCACAGGCTGGCACTTGACCCACTGAGCCACACCGGCCAGTGCGGGTGATCCCAGTTTTACGGATGAGCAAATGGAGGCTCAGGCCCCTGCCCGGGGCCGCAGAGCTCCTTGGGGGCAGAGCTCAGGCTCTGACCATCGTCTGTGCCGGACCCCAAGACACACAGCCTCTGTTCACAGGGAGTGGCCCGTGAGTGGGGGGTCAAGGGTGGGGAGGAGAGACGGGGAGGTGAGCAGAGCCAAGAGCTGAGTGCTGTGGTCAGCATTTGGTGACATCCTCCTGTGGCCCCGGCCGGATGGCAGGCCAAGCCACCCCATGAGAGGGGAACCCCCTCCTTGCACCCCGAGGCAGACCCAAGGATCTTGCAGGGGCGCCCAGAGGGGGGCGTCCTGCTGGTGGCTCCCCTCTCTGATGCGCTTCCTGCCAAGCGGTAGTAGAAGCTCCAGTGTCCGGTGCCGTCCCCTTCCTGTCTCTGAGGGGCAGCGCCGGGCACCTGCCCCAGGGCGTGAGCGGTCCCCTCTGCTGGCGCTGGGGCCCCTTCTCCTCTTGGGGAGCAGGCGGGGAGTTCAGCTGGAAGACTGATTCACCCTTGTTCCTGGAACTCTCTGAAGACAGAGAGGATGCTGTGGGTAGGTTCTAACTGTATCCTCTGGGCTGGGGCCAGTAGCAGATGGTCCTTATTAAAAAAAAAATACTTCCATGTGGGCTTAAAATAGCCCGGCACTCACCATCAGCTGAGTGGAGAAATGTACTGGCCGGGCGTCACGTGGGGGTGGGCGCGCTGCCGGCTGCAGGTTGGGACATGAGGCCCAGGCCTGAGAGGCAGAAAAGGGAAGCCTTGGGCGCCCGCTGCGCGCCTGGCCACATGTTAGGCAGGTGGCGGGTCTGGCCCCAGGAAAGCCCCATGACAATCCTGAGCCCACGTGACCCGCAGAGGGGACCTACAGCCTGAGAGACACACAGCAGGGACGGCGAACACAGGCGGGGACGGGGAGCCCTCCCGAGGCCGCCCTGGGGAGAATCTCAGCCCTGCCACTCACTCTCCCCACCAGCCGGTCTGTGGCACCCGATGGGAGGGCCCAGCCCCCCACCCTGGGCTGCTCTGCAGATCAGCTCACAGCTCCTCAGGTTGAAGGTCGCTCCCTGAGGCAGGAGGCTGCCCTCCCCTTCTGTCCCCTTTTTGTGAAAACCCCTTAGTGTCCCCGTTTAAACCAGGCCACGGTCTGGCGGGGAGAAGCGAGGGCTCTGGAGGCCTGGGCTGCAGGCGCGCCCTCCGGGCTGACGCCGTGTGCGCTGGGAGGGAGAGCGATGACAGCAGAGGACCCGGCCAGGCTCCAGCCAGCAGCCCTGGGTGGCGGCCAGGGCCCCCTGACTCCTGGCCTGTCCCCCGAGCTCAGCCTGGAGCCCAGGCCACGCGGCCTGCTGGGTGGAGGGCTTCCCAGCTGCAGGCCCGAGGCGGGGACCCAGGAGTCAGGAAACCCTCAGGCCCCACGTCCACCAGGACGGAAGGCCTTCCATCTGGGAAGGAGGGTTGCTGCTGAGTGAGCTGGCGCCCTCAGGACAGCAGCTGCTGCACTGGCCACCCTCGAGCAGCTGGCTCTGTGGGGGGCTCAGAGTTGGCTCTGGTGTCTGCCGGGCGCCCGCCCGTTCTCGCGGAGTGAATGCCCCCACTGCGGCCCTCGGGATCATGGGACATGGAGCTGGACCGTCCAGGGTGTCCCTGGTGATGCTGGGACCGGGCTCCCAGGAGGAGCTCCACACAGTGGGTGGGAGGGGTGGGGTGGGGCGGGGACAGGGGTTGGGGGGAGACCGTCACAGAGCAACGACAAAGGCTCGACTGAGAAGCAGTGTGGCCTGGGTGCCGTCGGGACTCCACTCCAGGCAGCGAGGTGGACTCGGCCTCCAGGTTTAAACCCCCAGTCGGCGTGGTGTGGCCTTAGGCTGTGACAACAACGGCCCCATTGTCCTCATGACCTCTGTGCGTGGGTGCGCTCAGGTGCTGGCCCAACACACAGGTCTCTGTCTGCACTCAGCTCAAGGGGCCCGTTAGAGCCCGGCCCACCCATAATTACACACTTGCATGCCTGCCCCCGCCACCCCCGGCCCCTCCAACGCCTGCCTTATCTCTCTTCCCCTCTCGCGCTTCCTCAGAGCGTGGTCAGGCGACTCGGTTCCCTCCCGCCTGCTGGTCCACCCCCCGCCACAGCCTCAGCCTCAGTGCCCTGTGCACGCCAGGAGCCAGCGCTGCTTCCAAGGCCCACGTCCCTGGGCTCCGGGCCCTGCTGCCCCTCCCCCATCTGCTTCTCTCTCCCCACAGATCTTTGCCTGGGTCCCCCTCCCCACCCTGGCACTGGGTCATCTTCTTTACCCAGTGTCTTGGTCTTAAGTAGGGCCAGGTCTCCTCTTGCTAAACTCACCCCAGGGGAGCTGCCCCCCTGCCGTGGTCTCTGTCGCCCAAATCTGGGTGGAGATTTTAACTCCACCCAGACACCGCTGCAAATCCCTCCCACCCAGCCCCTTGGCTGTCTCTGGCACCTTGGGCTCAATTTGTCCAACACTGAGCCCCTGGCCTCCCCTGCCCACCACAGACCTGCTCTGCTCCCAGGGTCCGTTACAACGTACTGGAGGGTCACTGCCATCTGGTTACCTCTGCCCCTGATGACCCCCGAGCCCATGTCCCTCCTGGCGCCTGACAGGTCCGTCTGCTTCGCCATCTCTGTCCCTTCCCCCGGTGCAAGCACACACCGTCACGAGCAGCCGGCTACGGTCTGACTCCCCTCCACCTCACCCCACCCTCTCCTGCCCACCTACCCCCCTTCTCAGGGGGGACCTGCTGGCCCTCCAGCAGGAAACTCTGGGGACACACACAGGGCCCACGTGACTGGCCTCAGCCTACGTCTCCCAATTCCTCTCTCTCTCCCCCCAGAGCAGTTTCTCGTGCCCCCCACCCCTCCACACAGGCCTGCACGTGCCCCTCCAACCCAGCACCCCCTCATGCTTGCTTGGGAAGCCGCCCACCTCCTGGCACCCCCATCCGCCCCACCCTAGGAAAGGTCTGGTCTTCCCGCTCCATTCTCCTTACAGAAGTTAATGCCGTTTGTAATTACTCACTCATCCGTGTGGCTCATTGATTAATATTCAGCTCTCCCACTGGGCTGATGGAGGAGGCCACCTTCTGAGAAGGGCAATGCGTTACTCTGGGTGCATTGTCTGCGAATGGCGGGAGGGGCCGCCCCACCAGCTTAATGCCTGTGGCCTCCTGGCCACTGTGACAGCACCCAAGCCCTCTTGCAGTCCCCCACACACTGGGAAGCTGGACGTCTCCTCCTCCAACCCCTGCACCCCCGCACCACCCCAGCCTCAGAGATTGGGGTGCCAGCAGGCAAGGTTGGTCCCACCCTGTGTCTAGAAGGCCCACCTCAAGGGGTGCTCAGAAAACACGTGCGGGGAATCTGTGGCGGCTCCCGCCTGGTAGTTTCTGAACAAGCCGTTCTGACCACTGTGGCAGGTTCCTTGTCTGTGACGGACTAGACCGTGGCCCTCGGCACGCTGGAGGTGGGGCAGAGCTCCACGGGGCAAGGGTCCGAGGCAGCACCGCATCATCTCGCCGACTGCAGCGCTCTGGCATGGTGACGACGGGGCGGGGGCCTCCCTCCCCTCCATCATGGTCCAGGGAGGCGCTGTAGGCCCTCTCTCTGCCTGTCAGCACCTCCACCTTCTCCCCAACCCCTGCCAACCTGCTACTCAGGCCTGCCCACGGCGCTGCCCAGAAGACACCAGCTCCAAAGTCCGAGCCGAGACTCAGGCCACCGAGTGGACTCCCACCTCCAACTCCTTCCTCAGGCCCAGGCTCCTGACTTCCTCCCCCAGTGACCAGCCTCTTCCCCTCTCCCTCATCCAAATTCCAACACGTTGGCCAGGTTCAGTGAACTTCCCTGGAATCTGCCGGAATTCCCCACAAGCTTCCTGTTCCATGTGTGCCACTGAGACCACCCACCTGGCACGGACCCTCGAGCCCCGCCCCCACTGGGCTTGCGCATAGACACCTGTCTCCTGTCTCATGTCTGCTCCCTCCGTCCAGTTTAACAAGGTTGCTCGGCACCAGTTCCGTGTGGGGACGGTGCCCGGCCCTGGCCGCACGGCAGCCAGCGAGGCCGCACACCCCTGACCTCAGCAAGCTCACGACTGGTCCTGTTTCCCTCGTCCTCTGCCTGTGTGACTTAACGCCGCCCCCTTATCCTGTGTCGGGCGGTCTGCCGTGTCCTCCTGGAGATCCCTCAGAGCTGGGAAGAGCTTAAACAATGAGACCACCAGAGAACCAGCACGTGATGTGCAGACGAGACGCCCCCAAAACCCCGAGGGGCGGAGGTCAGCATGGGTCGGGGCAGCATGGCCCAGACCCAGACCGTAAGCACGCACGGCACCAGGCTGGCCCTTAACGGACGGGCAATGATAACGGTCAGGGCAGCTAACACTTACAGAGAGCCAACAGTGTCCTCATCCATTTATACGGATGGCCCCCCCAACCCTCGCGGTCGCCCTCTGACGCAGGAGTTTTTCTTACCCCCAGTGCACAGGCGAAGGCTCAGAACCAGACAAGAAGCTGGAGGCTGTGCAGCCAGGAAGCAGTAGGGCCAGGGTTTGAGGCCGTGCAGCCTGGCTTCCGGAGCAGTTCTCAGGGACGCCATCAAAGGGGTTTGGGTGGATCAGCTGTTGATGCTGTGTAAGAAGTGTCCCCAGATTTAGTGGGTCGGGAAGCTGGGTGTGGCTCAGCTGGGTCCCCTGGCCCTGGCCTTTTGTGAGCTGCTACAAGGTGACAGCCCATGGTCACCTCGGGGCTTGGCTGGGGGAGGAGCTGGCTGCAAGCTGACTCTGGGGGCTACCGGTGGCCTCAGCTGGCTGTGGGCTAGAGACCTCCATCCGTTGTCTCAGGGGCTTGTGCACCGGGCTACTCACAGCATGACAGCCAGCTTCCCTCCAAGGGAGGGAGTGAGGGAGGGAGCAAAGGAGAGAGAATAAGACGGAGTCACCGTCCTCCTGTGGCCTGATCACGAAGGAACATGTCATCACTTTCACTGACATCTATTCGGGACAAGCGAGTTGCCAGGTCCAGCCCACGCCCGAGAGAGCCGTGCTGCGGGAGGTCATGGGCACCGGACATGGGGACCTCGGGGGGCGTCACAACCTGGAGGTGGGAGCTCACAGTCTTTGCCCCTGACTCCCCACCCCAACCCTAACTGCGTTTCTGTAAGTATTTAATGACCCTCACCGGAAGTGCACTGAAAGGTGATTCCCAGCCTGGGAGAAGTCTTCCTGATCTTCCCAGAAGCCCAGTGCCCAGGAAGACAAGCTCCTCTTAAAAGACCACACGCACACGGCCATGTAAAGAGTGTGTCTGTGTACCGCCAGCAACAGGCTGAGTCCCGGGCACCGCGCTCGCCCCGCCCATCGTGCTCGCCCCGCCCATCGTGCTCGCCCCGCCCACGCCCCCTGCCCTCCCTCCAGTAGGTCTGGATGCCTCTACAGTGCACATTTTTTCCTCCTTTCCGGCTTTTCCCAGAACACAGGACACCCTCCCAGTGCCAGGCAGCACTAACAATGGCACTTTTTGACAGTCCCTCTGAGGTGGCCACTCCAAGACTGTCCCCAGCTACCCAACTTCAGGCAAGGCCCCAACTTCAGTCTGGGACTCAAGGCCACCCATACTGTACACAAACCTGCGGTCACACCGTCCCTCCACTGGGCCTGGCTGCCCCACAGGCCTGGGGTCTCCCTGCTACCTCCTCTCACTCCCCCCCCCAACCACAAATGCTTTTCCTACTCCTCCTCACTTACCCGAGTCCTGGTCACCCTTCAAGGTCAAGTTCAGACCCCACCTTTTCAACAAACCTCTCCAAGACCCCTCCAATCCCCCGAGACTGAAACCCTGCGGGAGGCAGCGTGCACTAGACAAGGCCAACTCCGTACGAATGCTCACGGAGCAAGCAGACTACTCCGGAAAAGTGGCCCAAGCTCCCTCGCTGCCCGGTTACTCCTCCGGGCACGCTGGACTCAGCTTCCCACCCTCCTGGGCACGGCTCCCAAGGTGCCTCCACCTGACCACTGGCTGCTACGAGCCCCACGCCCCAGGAGGAAGCTTTCTCCGGGCCCTGCATGCACAACTCCAGCTCCCAGCTCTTCCCAACGAGTCTCCGAGGAGTGACCTAGAGGGGCTGTGCCGACTTATCTCGGCATCCAGAACGGGATGGAGGCCGCTGTGAACATTCTCGGTAACCACGAGGAAGAGGAGGCCCGGCCGTGGATGGGAGTCCCCGTAGAAAACCCACCTGGGACACCGCCCCCTGTTTGTTAACACTCAGAGGTACAGCAGGGCCCTTCCACCCAGAATCCGAGAATGCGGACTCGAGTCACCCTAACGGGAGAGAAAGTCTGGGGGTGACAAGATCGACAACGCACGACTGCTTTGTACAAAGCAGCTGCAGGGCCTGTTGCCAGTGTGTGAGCCGCAGCCTTGCTTTCTGACTCTTGGAGGGGCAACCGGTAGCAGCAAACACAGATGCAGAGGGAGAGGCAGCCGCGCAGGCGCTCTGCAGGGGCTACCAGGGGCAGCCCACCAGCGTGGCCCCAAGTCTTCCCGGCAATGCCTCCTGGCCCCCGGCCCCGTGGATGACACTCACATTGCTCACGGTGTACTTACCCTTGGACTTCTCATGCTGCTGTTCTCCTTTTGCACAATGTTCAGAAATAAACACTGGTGCCCACATGGTGCTTTGAAATAACAGGCCAAAGAGGAGACACGCCCCGTGCGTGCTCTGGAGCCCCACCAGACAGGGCTGGAGCCATTTGCATAAAAGGCAGAAGTGAGATCTAGGGGAAGTGACAGGTGAGGGCTTGCGCAGACCTGTCCTTGGTCCTGTCACCGTCACGGCACACCTGGGGCCTGCGAGGAAGTCTCCTCACTCTTCCGGACTGAGGCCAGCTTTTCTGAAAAGCACCTGTCTCAGACCTTTTGGCCTGAAGACCACTTTCTACTCTTAAAAATCATGGAGCATTCCACAGAGCTGGTGTTCACCTGGGTTGTGTTTGAAGGTATTTACTATATTAGAACTTAAACCTGGGAAAATGCTTAAAGATTTATCAATTTGAATAAAAAATAATAATAAATTGCCCTGCTGGGTGGCTCAGTTAATTGTCCCCTACACCAAAAGCTTGCGGGTTTGACTCCCAGTCAGGGCACATACCTAGGTTGCAGGTTCAATCCCCAGTCCAGGTGCATACTGGAGGCAGCTAATCAATTCCTCTTCACATCAATATCACTCTCACTCCTTCTGATCTCTCTCTGAAATCAATAAACATATCAGCACATGAGGATTAAAATAATAATAAATTCATTACATATCCACATAAATTCCACATTTTAAGAAAAAATAAATTACATTTTGCAAAAGAAAAGTGATGGTGAGAACGCAGTAGTTCACACCGTCCCCAAAATCCCAAAGGTCGGAATTAGCAGAAGGCGTCTGGGCGCTCACATGGCTTCCACACCCCGTCCGGGGCGTCGTGCTGTTTCAGCCGAGGCACAAAAAGAAACCCACCCCCAGCTGGAAAAGAGAGGACAGTTTTCAGACCATGGTGGCCACTCTCCTTTGAGACTGAGCCAGGGGTAGCTTCTCAAAGGTTCGTGGCAACGGGGGTCTGAAATCATTATCAATTTTTTATGCGCTGTTCCATTAAAATCCACTCGCTTCCATGCACTTTGAATACCTTCCTTCCCCATTCACGCACAGGCAACCTCGTGCACTGGTCATTAAGAGTGTTAATTCATTAGGTAGGTCAAACCGATGACTTTGACACATTTCACAACACGACATCCAGAAAAGCATCCAGAGTCAGCACAGGGGACTCGAGCAGGAGGCAGGTGACGACTCCTAGAGCCAAGACACCGGCGTGCCTGAGAAAGGGAGGCCGGGCCCACGGGCACGGGGCGGGGCTGGCCGGTGTCGCCCACTCTGTGGCCCTGGGGCTGCCAGGCGTGCTCTAACCGGGCCCTGCCCCACCCACGATTCCCCTCTGGAAGAATTTGGGCGACCCTCAGCGTGCGATGGGCCCTGGACCCAACCTCAATTTCTTTCACAAGGTGTCTTTGGGAAGCAGTTTGTTAAACGAGACCATAAATCTTGGACCCTTCTCCCCCTTCAAGGTGAGGTCTACGTCCCTTCTCCTCAAGTCTCGGCAGACATGTGACCAACTGACATGACGCCACGTGACTGCCATGTGAGGCCACGAAAGGCCGTCCGGCTGCCCCCTAGTTCTGCTACAACGCCGGCCCCCAGTGCCCTGAGCCTCCATCGGAGGACAAAGGGCCACGAGGCCTCCACACTGAGAGGACGCCCAGCCACACAGTCCGCACGGGCTGCTCCAGCTGCAGCCCAGCCGAGGACAGCTGTCCACGCAGCCTGGCCCGGGCCCAAACATGTCGGGGAAGAAACTGCCAGCTGGTTCTGGCCCCCGCCGGTCACCTCGCCCCGATCAAGCCTCAGAGGCCTCAGACACACAGCCCCACCCTGCCCAGATTCCCACCCACAGAATCCACGAGTGCTGCAGCCGGCAGCGACGAGACGCCCCTCGCTGGTGAGCTGAGAGGTGAGTGGCACTTCCCACTACCTGGTCCTTTCGGTTCCCACACCAGGGTCATTTTGCTCCCATTGCAGAGAGATGAGGCACAGAAAAATCAAAGAGCAAAGGCAGAGCCCTGGCCGACGTGGCTCAGTGGGTTGGGCATCATCCCGAAAAGTAAAAGTTCACGGGTTCGATTCCCAGTCAGGGCACAGGACGGGTTGTGGGTTTCGTCCCAGGTCAGGGTGCGTGCGACAGTCAACCAATCGATGTTTGTTTCTCTTCCTCTCTTTCTCCCTCCCTTCTCCTCTCTCTAAAAATAAATAAAATCTTAAGAAAAAAAGAGTAGATGCAGAGCCCGGAAAAAGCCAGGAAGAGGACTTGCGTCATGTCCTCTCGGGCGGAGCATCGGCGGGCCGAGCAGACGAGCGAGCGGGAGGCTCGTCTCCCCAGGACGAAAGCGCCGCCGCGCCGGCTGGTTCACGGGACAGAGGCTGCCGGCGCGGTCAGCCCAGAGCCGCTGCAGTGGACATCCACTAGGACTCGCTGGACAAACACGGCCTCTGCAGCTCGGACAACATCACAGGACACCGCGTACGGGGACGGTGTGTTGACACAGACATGTGTTTAGAATGTGTTGCCAAATAAAAAAGCGATGTTTTCAAAGACATGCCCAGAGCGTGACCTAGTTTTGGCCGAAGGACACAAAAAGTAGACAGTCACACATGGGCTCAGATGAAAGAAAGGCAGTTGCTGTCACAAAACACGAGAGGCGCTCACACCCGAGGGATGGCGTGATGGGTGGGCTACTTTCCTTTTAAAAAATTTTTTTGGCCTTTTCCAAATTGTATGCTATGAATGGGTATCAACTTTATGTCCTGCAACAAAAATTAATGTTCCTGATTTTTCAAATTCCACAGACCTGAACCGTATCTATAGTTCACGAACCTTTTTGCATTAAATGGCTCTGGCCCACCGAGGTCACCTGAGCAGCCATTGCTGTCCCCACGGGCCAGCTGCAGAAGACAGGGCTCCGGCTGAGCGGTGCCGGCCCGGGACGGACGGAGCACCCCACACCTGTCTCTCCCAGCCTCTCTCTTCACTTGGGGAACCGAAGGGGTACAGAATCCAAGACGGCCAAGCTCCCTTCACCCCCCAAGACTGTGCCCTCTCTGGGGAGGGCTGAGGACCCCAGACCCAGGTGTCCATCGCCTGTTCTTGTTTTGCTGTGCCGGTCACATCGGTCTCATTAGAGGTCCCTTTGGGCAGCAGCAGAGCTTCCAGAAGGCACCTGCTCAGGTGAGCGGCCAGGGCTCTGTGGGCACTGAGCCCTCCTTCCAGCCCATGCTGGGCACACCCTCACCCGGTGCACTCCTGTCTCTGTCACTGCACCTGCCACCTCCTCCTCACCCTCAGTGGGGACAGCCGGCACTCAATGAAGACTTGTCACCTCGAAATAACCCCACGGACAGCTGCAGAGTCCGCTCCTACACAGCAAGATGTCAGTGCCATTGGCTACAAAGAAATTCGCGGGTCAGTGAAGCGCCCACAGGATCCCAGAACCTCTGACTCTTCTATGCTCTAAGCGTCTTGTGGATTTTTTAAAAATCTTTAGTTCTTGAAACGGCCTTGACCTTTCAACCCTGAGCTGGGCAGAGGCTGTCTTTCTGAATGTTGCTCAGTTACCGGAGGCACCAAACAGAATCAGAACAGGAAAGAAGGAAGACCCCTGGCCAAGGTTTCCCGGACGGGGCTGCTTACTTTCCACGGCTACAGATTGTAACCAAGCCAGCAGCACCATTGTGCCGCCGCGTCCAAACAGACAGCCTGTCACCATAGCAACGCACACGTCTGCCAAGACCTCCCGGAGAGAGAACACCTTTCAAAGAAGTCTACTTAGCCACTTGTCACGTCAGCTCCTGTGCTTCTTACAGGTTCTCTCAGGCATCTGGGCCCGAGTGCCCTGGGGTCAGCGGGGACTCTGTGGACTGTCTAGAAGCCACCACCACACGGGAAGTGGCCTCCTGCTCCACCTGCCCCCACCTGTCTGTGGATGAAGAAGGCACAGGGCTCCCCCGAAGCCACACCCCTCTGGCTCTGTGTGCAGGGCAGTTACACGAGCCAATTGTTATAAAAATAACAGGCCTCAGACGGCCCCTCAGCTCACATGTTGAGAGCCAGGTGTCCCATGGAGGGACTGCCTCTGTCAGAACAAGGCGACCAATGAACTCGGAGACCCCAAGGCCAGCACCGCATGATGGCGCAGGCGCACCGCAGAGACACCGGGCTCCAGTGTGCGACCCCGAGGCACACACGTCGCTGTCTTCCTGCTGGTGGAGGGTCTCACCTTCAATTTGTAAAAAACACATCTGCCATGTGCAATACAGTGAGGTCTGCTCATACTCCTTTCATAGACCCTAAAACCATTAGCAAATAGTTTCCCAGGACACTGTCCCAGGAGAGGAACCACCCCTGCGGATAAGGCTGGTGTCACTTTGGAGACCCACCCCAGCCCCCAAATCAGGCATCGAAGGAGTAATTTGAGGAGCTAAGCACATGGCACTGGGCCGCCTCGATTCAGGGCTGCTAAAGTGGCAAACATTTGTAAACAGCATCCTCGCAGGAGACTTCCCTTTGGTTCTGTTTCATAACTGCCACGGAGAAGCCACGGCCATGGGCACGCACACGCAGCCCACGCCGCATTTGAGTGCCGTTACTGAGGAAATTCACGCAGTGAGCAGAGGAGGATCACCAGACACAGCCAGCAACTATGTCATTCAAAAGAACTGGCTTACCTGACCACAGGTCTCAGACAAACGACCTTGTAGCGACCTCGAGGCCTGCTTCCTAGCAGATAAAAGCCCCTGGGGGGACTTGCCCTCCTCCCAGCGGCGGGTTCTCTGGCCGAGGTCAACCTAGTTCAGTTTGCTTGACCTTCAGGGACTAGAGGCTCTGCCCAGGGTGCGTTCACTCCCAAGGCGATTCCCGTCACCAGGAGCAAGAAAGCAGGTGTGGGGGCAGCCCTACAGTCGCCAGGTCTGCGGCCCACCAACCCGAGGCCGCTTGTTACCAGGTCTGCCCCCCAGGTTTCTCTCTCCACGAAGGACCACAATACAAATGTCACCATGGTGGCTTGCTCTTGTACCTGCCCCCCTAGAAGATGGGGTCTGCGGTCCCCTTGGGGACCCAGAAGGCCCCTCAGTCTGGGTGGGCTCCTGAGAGCCATCTTGAGGCCTGGGCACCTGAGGGCAGGCGCAGAGGCCCAGCACCCTGCAGCCAGCCACTGTGGGCACAGGGTGGGCTTAGGGAGCGGCAGGCCCCAGGCACTGGACCTTCTTACCAGCAGACGGCACCTGCTCGACACTGCACACCTGCGAGGAAGCACATTTCCTTAAACAGATCAAGCGTGGCTCCGGTACCTGTCTCTTCCACGGGGACACGAGGCCTGTGCAGCGGACGGAGCGCTCGCTGGTGGCTCGCACCCCAGTCCCCCCTCGGCCCACAGAGCGGCCGCAGGGCCTGGAAGAACGGCAGCAGGCCGACGTGGAACCGCAGCGGAGAGGACGGGGCGGCACCCTTCCGTGCTCTCTCAAGTCCCCCCTTTGCCTTTTCTATCACTTTTCACCGTTTTTAATTCAGGCTGTGCTCCTGTATTTTCATAGCCTGAGAAGCCGTCCGAAACCCTTTCTTGAACAGGGAAGGACGCAGGGAAACACAGGAGATGGGATGAGATGAACAGTGAGCTGGCAGGTTGTCACCTGACAAAGGAGGGACACCAGGCCCCACTGTGCCACCCCTGCAGGGCCCACTGAGAAGGGGCAGTTTGGGGAGGAACCTCCTCGGCCATGTTGGGAGTTTTAAGGGATTTTCAGCCTTGGGAGCATCCAGCCCCTAAAGAAGTATTTCTGCTACATCAAGGACCAGCAGGGTCAGAATATTCTGGCAAAAAACACACACACCAGAGTAAAATGCACATTCCTGGGCCCCACCGAGCAACATCTCCCTCGGGTGGGTGGGACTGCGGCTCTGCCCTGTGCCAGGTAGCTCCTAGCTCCACGCAACGCGAGAACAGCTACCCCGGAAACATCTAGCACCCCGCCAGCTTCCCCAGGGTTGTCCGGGACCCTCGCAAACGCCCCCCCAACTTCCTCTCTCCCCATGACACCTGCCCCCCCGCCCCCCACAGTTGGTGAGCTCCTCTCTGACTCTTGCCTGGCGCCCTCCTTCCTACCTGACCGCCACCCAGGCACTGGGAGACGCAGGGGGACCAGCCAGCTCCCAGCTCACCAGCACCTCCCACAGCCGCGGGCTCGCCTGCACTGAGCCTCGAGTAGGGTGCACAGCCAGTCAATGTTTATTGAACAAACAGCTAAATCTTTATTACTGTCCTCCAGGAACTCACCTGCCCCAGACACTCTGCACGCTTGTGACAAAAGAAAGCCCAGCCAGGCCTCTTCCTGGACACCGGTCTGGAAGCAGAGTGCATTTCCAAGTTTCCGAGCCTGGCCCTGCCATTCCCCATCCTCCCTCCCCCCCTGGTCAGATGTGACTTAAGTTCCAGCCTCAGCTCAAATGCCATCTCCTCCAGGAAACCTCCTTTGATTTCCCCTTCCTCATTCGACAACCAGTTCCCAAACGTCCACCTTGGCTCAGGCATCTGGCTGGGCTGAGCACAGTCAGAAGTGGTCCCTGCCTGGGCCCCCGAGGGGCAGGTAAATGCACAGCGATTCACACCCCACACCTTTCACACACAAGTAGCACACACACGTGCTCACACTCACATGACACGTCCCCGACCCATGAGTAGCACTGAGACCTGCTCGTTAGCCCACACACGTACAAGGACAAGCTCCTCCAGAAAGCTGGCTAAATCAGTGGAGCACAGAGAGAAACCAGGCCCACGGCGGGGGCCGCTCTCAAGGTTAAAAATGGAAACTCACACCCATCGCAACCACAGTGCAACATGGCTCAGTGCACACCTGTTCCAACAGCCAGGACCCAGGACGCTGGCAACACCGAGCGCGGGTGAGACACCGGCCGCCGCAGGAACTCCGGGGAGGATGTGACCCAGTGCAGCCACTCTGGGGGGCAGCTTGGCGGTTTCCTACAAGACTAAACACGCTCTTACCCTACAACCCAGCAGCCCTGCTCCGTGGCATTTACCCAAAGGCCCCCAAAACGTTTGTCCCCACAAACCCCTGCACACGGGTGTGATGTTCACAGCAGCCTCATTCCTACTCGCCCAAACTGGGAAGCAGCCCAGACGCCCTTCCGCAGGTGGGGATGGACAGGCTGCAGTCCGTGCAGACGGTGGAATATTACGCAGCACTGAAAAGAAGGGAGCTGTGAGGCAACTGCAGACACCGAGGGAGCTTGAGCGCACGTCACTGAGAGAAAGAAGCCGGTCTGGAAATGCCACAGGGTCTGTGACTCCCGCTCTGCGACATCTGGACAGGGCAAGACCATGGAGACAGTAGAAAGCTCAGCAGTGGCCAGGGGCTACAGAGGAGAAGGGGCAGGGATGGACGGGAGGGGCTGACCTTTAGGGCAGCGGGCATGCTCTGCGTGATACTACGGTGACAGGCACGTGTCCCGAACCACAGAGGGCACAGCACTCAGGGAGAACCCTACTGTGCACAGGGACTCCCGGTGACAACGCCACGTCAGCGTAGACTCTTCAGACAAATGTCCCCCTCCGGTGGGGGACGTTGATAGTGGGGACACAGGGGCTGTATGTGGAATCTCTGTCTTCCTCTCAATTTTGCTATGAGCCTGAAACTGCTCTTAAAAAATAAAATCTTAAAAATGTTTTTTTTTTTTTTAAAGAGCACTGGCAAGAACAGTAACCACTCTCTGCCTTCCTCATACTAGTGACAAAGTCACAGTCCCCGTTTATGAAGGTCCCAGCTGGTATCAGGGCAGTTGTGACACTGTCCGGGGTGCCGGCCTGCTGCAGCTGGGCAGCAGGGCCTGCAGACCCACGGGGACATCAGGGGACAGGAGCTGCCCAGGGCCTGGCGTGCACGGGCGGCTCCATCCTGCGCAGAGGGAGGAACGAGGACAACACGGCCCCCGAGCTCAACTGGCTGGCTGCAAATGCGCACCATGTGGCTCCTCCGTCAGTAAAGTGGGGACGACCATGCTCTCGGCAGGACAGGACTGCTGTGTCATTTACATGGCGTGGGACCGCTAGCCCTCTGCCAAGCCGTGACGTGGTGTCCTGCAGAGAATGGCCACTACCAGCTTTCCGATCAGCTGCCACTGACCAGGCCCTGTCCCAGGCCTTTCACTGTTCTTAGTTCATTCAGTCCTCGCCCCAAGTCCCCAAGGAGGGTGTCCGTCCCCATGCTCACAGGACTTTCCCAAAGCCCCCCAGGTGATGATAGGGATTCGGACCTGTGACGGGACCGTGTGGCTGTGCCTTTGTGGGGGGCTGTCCGCTGGCGGGCAGCAGCCCGGCCCCTCTGAGGCATGTTCCTCCTTTGGAGGTGGCCTGGGAACAGCAGGGCCAGGCTGGGGGGGAGGGGAGCTGGACAGAAAAGCCCCAGGTAATGTGAATGAAACTCTACCCGCCAGCCCGCACCTGGTGTTTTTGCATTTCCCAAGACAGCTGGAGGGACAGGCCGTGAGGAGACAAGCCGAGCCCCGTCCACGGTCGTGGGGACAGTTGGACTAGGGCCCAAAGCCACTTCACGTCCCAGTACCCAAGAGCTGTGATGGAGCCTCCTCAAAGGCCACCCTGTCCCTCGGGTGACCCGGACGATGCCCACGAGGGCCCCAAGCACATGCTGCATGCGGGCCAGGGGCGCACTCCGGGCCTCGGGCAGGAGGGGACTATGCTGTGACCCCCCAGGCCCTTGGGGAGTCAAGGGAGAGCCCGGGGCTACCTGTCCAGGCCACAGGCCACTCGAGGGTGGCCCCCACCAACTCCCCCCAGAGCCCCCAGTTCACATCCTAGGAACTCTGCATCCAGCTCCCTCAGTCTGAGCGCAGTGTACCCCCAAAATGAGGAAGGGCCTCACGAGGGAAGTCGGGCCCCACGAGCTCACACAGCCTGCCCGGTCCCTCGGAGCTGGGAGAACCAGCGCTGTGGGCCAGCCCCTGGTCTGCGTGCTGCAGCCACCAAAGCGAGGGAGCTGACCGTGCGGCCCGGCATCAGCTGCCCCCCGGGCAGAGCACAGCCTGCGCCTCTGATGAAACCCCAGACAGCAGGGGACAGGCCTCAGGCCTGGAACCACAGCTGTGTGCAAACGACTGGAGCCAAATTCTGCATCAGCAGGGACGGCCCAGCTGGGTCCCAGGGACAGACAGGCACGTGCAGAGTGGTCAGGCCTCGCGGGGCCTGGGGAGGCCCCTGCAGCTGCGGGTGGGGAAATGTCTCCGGTGCCGAGTCCATAAGTGCATGTCTGCCCACCCACCGAGGTGGCGGCCAAGGACAGGGAAGTGCAGGCAGCGGGCTGGCCACAGCCAAGACCAGGCCCAGAACACGGCTGCCCAGAGAAGGCGGCCGGACGCCTTTCAGCCCAGTTGGAAATGAGGAGCCGGTGGGAGTGCCCTTCAGACACACCAGCCGCATGGTGCCAGACAGAAAGCCTGGGCCCCAAGGACCTGCTGTGGGCGTGCCCACAGGGGGTGGGCTCCTAGGGGCAGAGCCACAGCACCCAAACCTGGGTGGGAGCCTCTGCGCTGGCCAGCCCCCAGAGAAGGCACAGCAACATCCGTGTGACCCACCTACGTACGTGCACCCAAAACAGACTCACTCCCCCAGGGGATTCCAGTTCAGGAGGCTGCTCAGACTTGAATTACAAACTCGCCTGCCTGTCTCCACGGGCGATAGTGGCTTTGGCAACTATGCCCCAGTAACAGAAAGTTCAAGGGTGAAAAGGTAAATCAAGGGCAGGCACTGACTACGAGGCAATCTCCGATTCAACTCACAGCGCCTGGCCTGCCCGTCCCGAGACTCTCACCCGGCATGTTGTCCCTGCCCTCGGGGTCCCTGGTCCCCTTGTGGCTTCAGAGGACGCAGCTCCCAGGCGAGGTGACGCCACTCGTGAGCAGCCTCGAACTTCTGCTCTGACACCAACGTCGCCGGGCAGGCTGCCAGCCGCGGCTCCCGTGGGGGAAGCAGGCCAGGCCCATGAAAGCAAGAGCAAAACAGAGGTTGGGCAGGCTATTTTTATCAGCCTATAGACTGGTGGCGAAGACCCCGGCAGCTACCGGGCACCGCAGGCACGGGGCAGGTTCTCTCCAGTTCTGTCTCCGCCCCTTGGCCTCCCTCGGGAGACTGAGGAGTAGACCCGGTCAGGACAGCACACCCCTCCTTCCGCCATCTCCACAGGAAAAGGAATTAGTTGCCAAATATTCAGAATGGATAATTGCTACCTGAGGTAATAAGGGCAAACAGCCGGCAAGAAAACAGCGGTTTACTGTTTCTGAGAGTGGCCGCCCTTGACCCGGGTCCCTGGCTCTGCCGCCTAGGCCAGTGCGGGGACACACTCCCGCCGGTGGCCCACAAGAAAGAGGGACCCACAGCCTGGGGCTGGCCCTGCTGCCGAGTCAAGTCAGACACTTCTGTGGCAGGGCCACCATTTGTCTCCCATCACACACACACCTACACGCACTGCACACACACCACACATGCGCACAGTCATGCACCACACGCATGTGCATGTGTGGGCACTTTGTGTGGACACAACACACATGCACACGCCACATACAGCGAGCATGTGCATACACTACACAGCTCACTCATGCACAGAACACGTGTGCACCACCTGTGCACAAGTGCACTCTGCATACCACAAACATGTATGCACCACCTGTGTCCACCGCGTGTGTGCTGCCTGTATGCAGCATGCACACACGGTCACACCTGGGTTCTGAGGAGAACACACCGGGCCAGGACCCTCCTGGAGATTCCGGCCAGTTGCCCCAAGCCCCTGAGCTCTGACTGGGGGTGCAGACCCACCTGAGGGGTTGCAGCAGGAAGGAGCAGGGGTGGGGGGAAGGGCAAGGGGCATGACCCTGAGGAAACCAGAGGCACACAGGAAGGCTGGGACAGACATCCGTGCCCCTGTCCACCCCCACAGCGGGCACAGGCCCTCCCCCAGCCCCGCTGCTGCCTTGCTGTGACAGCAGACAGGCCACCTCCCCTGTCTGGGCCTCAGTATCTGCCTGTGACAGAACACAACAGATTTCTGTTGTGTGGCATGTGGTGCACACGTGTGTGCTTGTAGTGTGCAGTGTGTGGCATGTGTGGTGTGCACATGTGTTTGCAGTGTGCGCATGTGCTGCCATCATGGGAACAGCCCGGGGGGCACTGCCCTCCAGGAAGATTCAGCTCGAGTCCGGGACCTGCAGCGGCCACCCTGCCCGCCAGCCCCTGTGCCCTTCTCTGCCAGAGCACTCACCACGGACGCGCCTGGGCGGGAGCAGTCAGCTTCCCGGGGGTGGCTGGGCTCTCTGGAGGCCTCCCGATGCCACAGGCGGCTGGGGCCGGAGCCCCCCAGCCCTGACACTGCCAGAGCCACACAGGGACCCTGCACTGGGGCTCGGTGGACCCCCCGGGCCAAGGCGCAGCCACGTGGAGCTGCTGTGAGGATGAGGCTTGTTTGCTTGGAGCAGACCATTGGTCCTTCATGTTTGCAGGTAACCACACCTTGTGCATAGCTCTTGGGCCGTTCGGGGAGCGCATTCCCCTAACAGCCAAACCACAGCCCCACGGCGTGGCGTGTTCATGGCAGCGGCGCCCCACTAAGTCTGGCTCTCGGGACTCATCCTCACAAAGAGCTCTGTGTGTGTGGGCATCTACAGACGGGTGTGTCCTGCACTCGGGCGGGAAGAAAACCCAACCTTTTGTGAGCAGGTATCACTTTGTAATTAAAAAAGGAACGAGGAAAGGGGAGAGTAAGCAGAATGCAGTCCCCATTCCAACACCTTCAGGAGCGGCTGTACTGGCCGCTGTGGCTCTGGCCGGGGCCCGAGGAAAGCAGCGGGCCAGGAGGCAATATGCACATGGGTGGCGATAAAACCACTGGGCAGTGTTTTCTGGATTTTGTTTTTTATATTTTTTATTTTTTCAGGAAAATGCATAAACCCAAGATTGCAGCAACTCCAGGATCAAGGAGGGAGGTTTTAAATAACCCCCGTGGTGTCTATGAAGTTAAACGATTTGCTCTGTCACACTGATCAGCCCTGGGGGGCAGTGAAGGCTCCCAAGACAGGTTCCAGGAGAGGTACCGGCAGCGAGTGACCCCATCGCGTGCAAGGCCTCACACGTCTGTCCTGCTCAGTCACCAAAAGCTGACCAGCCCCCACCGCCCCAAGGGCCCCGCAGGCATCAGCCCCCACCCAGGCCACCAAAACCGGTCCAGCGCACCCACCGCCACAGGCAGGGCCTTGGGAACCGATGACTCCAGCCAGAAGGCCCAGGTTCCTCATCTGCACGGAAGCGTCTCCTTCCTCCTGCGTTTGGAGAGCATTCGATGGGAAATCTGATGAGCTAAGAGCTCAGTAAATGCTGATGGTGCTCCTGTTGCCACGTTCCCACAGGTCCCAGGGCTGCGAGCCTGGGCAGCAGGGCTCCTGTTGGTGAGAAGCTGGGCAGGTAGCCCTGCATTGCCTGCTGCCTTCCGTCACCTCCCTGGGGCCAGCCCTGGTCCCCGACCAGGAGGAAACCTCCCGGCTGGCAAGGAAGCCACCCAGAATCACTGAGTCCCTGAACGGCCCATGACCACATTTCTCCACCCCTGACCTGCACCCCCTCCCAACCTGTCCTGTATCCAGGTCCTCACCGGCCTCCCTCCTGCCCCAAGGGCCTGGGCCTCTCCTGGCCCTGGGCACCCAGGACATGGCGTTGGCCCTCCCCCACTTCTGGGGGAGACACCATGATGTCTCACTGCGGCTCCAGGAGACATCAAAGGCGGCGGAGCTTCCCACTGCGTCCCTTCAACCCAGGGACATGAGTGAGTCCGGCGGCACAGCGCCTGTCGGGCATGACCTAGGAGTCTGGCTTTTTCATCAGTGAGTCAACACCCCCCACCCCAGACCCCTCTGCCCCAAATTCATTCCACGGGCAAATGCCCGGGTTCCCCCAGTGGAGGGGCTGAAAGGAGCTATGCCTGGAATTCGCACCCGTATCCCCCTCCATGAAGAGCTGCAACCCCAAACCCTCTCCCCACTTTATTACAGATTAATGAGCTACACAGTTCTCACTTTAGAAATAATCGCGAACCATGGCACTGGCGATCTCCCCGGGCACAGGGGTGGCGATACTTTCAGGGCCTATTCGAGTCACCCGCCCTGGATGCCAATGAAATATTAATTAAAGGTTATGCTCGCAGCCTTCGGAAAACGATGACTCAAGCTAGCAATTATATTTCCCTCCTTTCTGTGTACCAGAAACCACCCCTCGCAGTGCAGCACGGACGATGCTGAGCCCGCTGGCGCAGAGGCAGCATCAAGGCGGAAGCGAGGGCCTGCCCAAGGGGGGGAAACAGGGCAGGGCGGGGACCATTTCTCAAGGCCATTAACTACCCTCCCTGGCGGCCCGATGACGAAGCATACAGAGGAAGAGAAATGCGAAGGGGACAAAGCCACGGCTCCGACTGGGGGTGGCCACGGAGCAGGGACGGGCCAGCTCCCCGGTCCCCCCCAGGGGCCCAGGCACAGCACAGCCAGCTGAGTCAGGAGCCAACCCTGAGCAGCCTCCCGGGCAACTCCCCTGCGAGAAGAAAAAGGACAGCAGGTAGCCTAGAAAATAACAATGAAAGCTGCTACTTACTGAGCACCTACTGTATGCCAGGCCAACTCGGTGAGACAGGAATTCCCATCTTCGTTTGACGGACAAAAGCACTGAAGCTTGAAATATCAAGCAACGTACCCAGGGTCCTAGGGCAAAGGGCAGAAGTGGGGTTCAAATCAACTGGCCGACTATCCCCTGCAGGTGGCCGCGTCTGTCTTCTTTGCTGCTGCGTCTCCATGGCCCACCTAGCACGGTGCCCGGCACATAGTAGGTGCTCAAGAAAGATTGCTTATTCAGTACATGCATGATGAATGACTGACCTCCTGAAATGACCCCACCCATTGGGAAGGCAAAACTCTGCAACTTCTCAGAATTTCTTAAAGTAGACTTAAAAAAAATAGCTTTGACTTTAAATGTCTCGGCCTTGAGGGAACCGGGAGAGGAGGGGGAAAGGGCGAGCGTGTGGTTTTGCCCACGTCAGGGCTGCAGGCCCTCAGCGCCAGCAGCAGCCGCCCGGCCCAGCTCTCGCCGGGCGGCGCTATCGCAGGGCGGCACGCAGTGGTGCTCGAGGACCTAAACAACTACCGTCTGCTCCGCGCTGTGACCACGTGAAAATCATCAAGTCCTCGCAAAGCCCCCTCCAGGGCAGCGACCACACACTGACCCCGAGGGGAGCTTCCCACCACCCTCCTGCCCTTTAGGTAACTCTGGGGCAACTCGGAGCCGTAAGGCCTTGGGTTAGAGGACAAGGGAGCAGGTTGTAACCGGACAGAACGGTGACTTGGCAACTGTGACGTGGTGTCTCCAGATCATGTGGCCTGGGGCCAAGGGCCCAACAAGCAGAGGGATTTGCTGACCCCATCAGAGGTGGGAAGAGCTGCTGAGGCAGGAGGAACAGAGCTGCCCTGGGGTCATTGGGGGGGGGCAGGGGGAAGGGCAGAGGTGGCTTCCCCAAGAGCGCTGTGGAAGGGCAGAGATGGTGGGGGGTGGGGGGACTGCCTGATCCGAAAGCCAGGAGAAGCGGGAGGACAGGGAGGAAGAGGCTGGGGGAGATCCTCCCTGGGAGGGGAGCCCCCGGCTCGCAGGCAGGAGGAGGGAGCTGGGCAGACCGTGTTCCCTGAAGCCTGCGGGCGGGACGAGAGCAGCCCGTGCCCAGAGCCCAAGCTGGGGAGAGGGACAGCGCGGCACGGCAGACAGGCAGAGGGGACACTCATTTGGCACGGCGGGTGCCACACGCCCTGTCGGAAGCACGGGCCCTGCCCAGGAGGACCGTGCAGCCCTCTGAGCAGACAGCATCGGGGCGCAGAAAGGAAGGCCCGGCACCTGGCTGCTGGCCTGACAGAGCCCAGACGCCTCTCCTGCCCCTTTGCCAGCCCCTCCTACAGGGGACGGCACCTTCACAAAGGGCTCAGATGGCGTGCGCAGGGGACCCCCAGATGCCTTCCATCCCTAGGGCCTCAGAGACCCCTTATCAGATCCCCCTCTAGGATGAGGACCCCCTGGAGGGAAGCCTGGATGACCCCAAGGCCAGGGGCACTGCAGAGGAACGGAGGGGTTCCTGACACCTCCAGAAAGGGGGACACAGAGCCCCCGCTTTTTCTGACACCGAGTGAACCCACTGATCTGCGCATCCTGCCTAGTAATAATTTTAGATTTCATTCTCTAAAAACAAAAACAAGTTTATCAGGCCCTGCCTGAGCACGTCGAGCACGAGCAAGGTCCCGGAGCCCAGAGACCCGCGGCCCAGAGGTGCCAGGGCCACCAGCTTCCCCCGGCTCTTAACCGGCCAGCCCTGACCTGTTCAGCAGGGTTCGGCCAGAAGGCCGCACCGAGAGAAGGCACTCCGGCTCCTCCTGGCCCCTGAGGCCACTCTGGGCCCGAGATGGGAAGGAGGGACATGGGAAGGACATCTGAGGCCTGGGCGCCCTGCTGCCCAGGGATGGAGGGAGACACTCAGCTGGGACCTCGGGGAGCAGACGCGCCCCTCCTGCACCCCGATTGCCTGGTGCCCGGCCCAGGAAGGAGGGGCGACTCATTCCGTAACTCCAGTGGCATCCCTCACGATGTGAAATAGTAGGACTGAAGCAGCAGCTCTCAGCTGCCCAGGGGACAGACTTGGTGATGCCAGGTGACAGGGGTGGGGACAGGGACACATGAGGGCACAGACACCACGGGCACAGAAGGGCCCCTGCTAGGGCCAGGGACGTGGACAGGGGGGCACAGGAAAAGGGAGAGGGGTGAGCAGACCGTGAACCCCGAGCCCAGCCACACGGCACCTGTCAGGAGCCTGGTTGAGGAAGTGGCGCTCAGGGCTCCGGGCTGGAGTCCCTTTGCTGAATTCCCCTTCCAGACGTCAAAGGCGAAGAGGAACACCCATTCCGAGACCACCTGCCGCAGCTCTTCCCCTTGAGTCAGGGGAAAAAAAACCGCATTTTAATTTTTCCTCCAGTGCAGCTAGGAGTCCCCTAGACCCAGCACGCACTGTGGCCGCTCTGAAGGGTCTGGGGGCGGGGCTCAGGGATGCTCCGCCCACCCACGCGCTGGGGCCCCTCTTTCAGGTTTGCTTGGTGGGTCTCCTCCATGACAACTTTCCTCTCCATCCAGCCACCCAGCCTCCAGGCTGGTACGGTCCTACCCCTGCATCCAGGTGTCACCTGTACCTGTCGAAATCGCCTCTTGTGTTTTAAGTCCCCGTCATTGCCGAAGACCCCTTCGGATGAAGCCTTTCGCTCCCCTTCTCCCCTGAACCACCCCCACCCTTACCTTCACCATCGTGTGACCACCGGAAGAGCTCAGTCTGCTCCCTGCGGCTGCGGGCGCTGGGGGTCCCCGGGAAGTGTCCGTGGACCTGCATTCCCATTTCACCCTGCCACCTGCCCTGCACACTGTCCACCCTGGCCCCAGCTGTCCCCTTTCTGCAGGGCCTCAGAGCCCCGTGCTCCTCGCACCTGCAGCCTCGAAGGGTAACTCCGGCTGCCCCTTCACCCTGAGTGTTGGGCAGGGCCCCAGGAGAACTGCAAGACCCTGCTGGTCACCGTGCAGCAGGTATGAGAGGCGCACGCCTCGGGGACAGGGAGGCGCTGTGGAGGCCTGGCTGTGCCACTCACTTACCAAGGCTGCGAGCCTCCGCGTCTCGGGCTGTGAATGAGGGTGGCAATCCCGCTCTCTGGCGGACTTGCTGCGGGACTGAGGGAAGGTGCTGGCGCCCGGCAGGTTCTCCGCCAACACGTACTGTTCTTGGACGCCCAGGGCCAGGCGGGGTTAAGAGCACAAGCTTTGAACCCCAACTCCCTGTGCTCACACCCTGCTCATCATGTGCTTGTGTGGCCTTGGCCGACTTTCTCACCTTTCTGGGCCTCAGTGTTCTCACCTACAGGATGGGGTAACACGCTCGCCAGGCAGGGAGGGTCCGTGTCCCTGCACACGCTCCTTCCCGGGAGCCCGTCCCTAAGAATGAACCGGTCTCCCTCCCTCCCTCCCTCCCCCTTTCTCTTTCTCCATCCATGTACCCACTTTCTATTGGCCACTGACTCCATGTGTCTCCCCAGAGCCCGGCGAGGACAGCCTGGTGAGTACAGGCGGCAACTTCCCTGGTCCACTTGGAGCCAGAATGTCCCTCTCGCTGTTGCCACCGCTCCCACCACGGCCACAGCTCGCTAAGGCGAGCTTGGCACGCCACTTTCCCAAGGAAGGAGAAGGAGAAGTGAGGCTGCGTTTAGGGATCTGTGAAAGTCTGGGTTTTCTGGGGCCTTCTCCATTTTGTGTTAGGGCCCCTTTTTATAGCTGTTATTTGGGCCACTCAGAAGTGTCTGAACTTCCCACTTCCAAGTCGGCTGTGAGTCACCTGACGGGGCGCTCGCTGCTGGGTGGCAGTTCCAGGTCGTGAGGTTGGAGAAGCCCCTGCTCAGACACAGGAGAGGTCGCCACCTGCAGGGTGCCCAGTCAGGGCTAGGGTCCCAGCTACGGGGCTCCGTCCCCCACAGGCCGCACCCACAGCAACACCCACGTGACCTGCACGCCTCTAGAAGCTTCTCCGAGACACCTGCTGCCACTCCCTCCTTTGGCACAGCTGGGGCCACCTGCGGGAGCCTGGTTTTCAGCTGCGGGGCAGAGCAGGAGATGGTGCTGGCCAGAGAGGAGGGGGCTGAGAGCGCAGGGGGCCCGGAGGGAAATGGCGGGAGACAGCCCCGCCTCCATCTGGATGTCCACTCAGCTGTGCCTGCCTGGAGTTGAACCCACATTTGACCCCAGAGAAGGCTGGGGCAGGTCCTGACAAGCCACAGAAGTCACAGAGCCAAGGGTCCAGAAAGCAGGACTCAGGCCTGGAGCCAGAGGACAGAGCTGTGGGTCCGGAGCCAGTGGGGAGGGGGCTCTGAACGAGAACGACCGTAGGAAGTGAGTGGTGCCGAGAGTCCCGGAGGAGAGGGGCTGATGCAGCAGGGTAGACAGCGGTACCAAAATAGCCTGGGACGCGGGTGGGGAGGGTGAGCACAGCGCAGTGGCTTCGGACAGCAGGAGGGCACAGGGCACCCAGCCGAGCGGTCCCAGGTCAGGACACCTCTTGGGGTCCAGCACAGATCGTTTCCAACCAAAACAAGGAACAGCATGGCCTAAGACCACACACCTACAAGTGCCAGGCTCACCCCAAATTGGGAATGGGTGTGCAGTTAAACCCAAACACGAGTTGGGCGGGTCAAAAGCAGCCCAAGTCCATACACACATTTATTCACTTTACAGTGGGAACTATGAGGCTGGAAACTGTGAACTTGTGCTGCATGAAGAGTGCCATTCCACAGGAGGGGTGCACTTGAGTTAGGAGACCCCTCCTCCTCCCTGGCCGGCCAGAGTCACCCACAGCACGTCGCCTACCTGGGCTGCAGGTCAGGTGTGAACAAGGGGACAGCCCCGGGCTTCGGCCCAGCCCAGCTGGAAGGGCACGGCTGACCCTCTGAGGCTGCTGAACTTCCCCTGGCCTGAACCTGGGAGTCCAGGGCCCAAGAGAGCCCAGCGTACTGAGTGAGCGCCAGGGAGAGGCGGAAGCTGCTACTTCTGCTTCCCCTCCCCAAGCCAAGTGGACCTATGTGGGGGCTGGGGAACCCCACTTTCCCCTAAAAGCTCTGCTTGGTAGGAACATGCCAGGCAGTGTGCCCTGAGGGTGCCAGAATGGCACAGGCACCCCTCGCCCTCGAACCCTGTCCTCTGGGCCCCAGCTCACTACCTTGCTGGAAGTGTCTTCCCACAGCCTCCTCCCTGGGCCACAGTGACTAATGCACCAGAGCGGCCAGCACTGCACAGCAGGGCTCTGGCTTCGGGGGGGGCCAGACCCATGCCAGGGCGTCCCCCCAGTGTCAGAGCTGCAGGGCCCAGGTGCCACCAGGGGAAGCCTCAGGGCCCCGGGCCCCTCCCCTAAGCAGGGCTTTGCTCCGGAGCACCGCCTTCTCTCTGAGTTCTCAGGGAACCACAACTCTGTGACCAACGCCAGGTGCGTGCGCCACACTAGACACCTAATGCTCACTCTCTCTAGCCCTCAAGCAACTTGGCAGAAAGTCATCCCTGTTTTACGGGTTTGGAAACCGAGACCGGAAGCGGCAGGTGGAAAGCTGGTAAATGGCAGAGCCTGATTTGAAGCCAAGGTCCCCTGCCAGCGCCTCATGCCCTCACCCTTGAAGCAGGCGACCCTGCATGTGCCCCAAGAGGCCCTCTGCACTCGGTGCCACGCTGACCCCGCCAGCTTCCCCAGGGTCCCCTAGAGGCCCCCAGGCCCACAGGTCAGGAACCTCTAAAACAGTTCAGGCAGAACACTCTCACCACCCAAAACAAACCACGGCTCTAGGAGGGAGCAGGAGGGAGCAGCACAGGTTTCCCTTGCAGCCCCCGAACACTCTTCATCCTCTCTCCCAAAGTCTGGTCCCGGGTTCCAGTTACCCAACAACCCTTCCCAGGGGAAATGGAGGCACTGAAAGGCTGCGTGGTCACCCAGGGTCCCGCCAGCGCTAAGTGCCAGAGTTGGGAGCGGAGCCCAGGCCACGGCCAGGTGGAGAGCGTCACCCTCACCTAATGAGACAGTCTGGGACCACGGACCACACCAGTTCTTCCAGGGCAGGGAAGGAGGGACCGAGGCGTGAGAGCCCCAAGGGCCAGTGTGGCACCCGTCCCCTTCCACCTTCTAGGGACAGTCACCAGAAGGCCAGGCCCCACTGCACCAATCACGGATTCTCGGCACCGGGAGAGGCGGTGTTGAAGTGCCCGCCGACCCAGGCCTCCTGGGACCCTTAGGATGCCTGTCCCCACAGCCCAGGAAGATGTTCACATGCAGCTGGCAGGCCAGCTGGGACAGCAGAAATATTAGCTAAAAGGACTTGCCTGATAACACCAGTGCCCTGAACAGGGGGTCAAAGGCACCAGGAGGAGCTAGGTCAGACAGAAGGCGGGGGCGCTGCCCGCAGACGGACGTGGTTTAACGGGATGCCTGTACATTTATGACCTCCTTACACCTCTGCAAGCCGAGAAGTCACAGCAAGGGTGAGTCCAGGAATTAAAGGGCACGATGGCATCCTAGAGAACGGGCCCACGCGCTTGTGCTGTTTAAAGACGACCGAGTGATAGCAGCCCTTCTCTCTCGGTCTTCCTCCCCCCCACCATGTCACAACTCTACCCCGGGTCTTACGATTATCTTCACACCTCATGTGTGTGCTTTTTGAGGTATGTCTTTGTAGCTCTGTGTTGTTAAAATCTAGCGCTTCATAAACTAACAACTCTTCATTGGCAATGAATCTTAATGTTCTCTGGGTGTCCAACCACGTGCAGCCCAGGATGGCTACAAATGCGTAAGTTTACTGAGAACATATGGGATTTTCTGTGATTACAGGTTGCAATGTATTGAATGTGTGGCCCAAGACAACTCTTCTTCCACGTGGCCCAGAGACGCCGGAAGGTGGGGCAGCCCTGTGTCTAGAGGGTCCTGGCTTACCAGTGGAAGCCGTTTCTTAGGGACGTGGGGTTCACCCTTTGCACTGGCTGAAATAATCGTTGGCACTCGGTTTTCATGGTGTTTAGCAGTTCGTGCAGCGGCTTCTACCTACGTTGGCCAGTGGCAGGGACGAGGCCAGAGCGGAGTAACTTGTACTCGATTGAGTCCAATTATCCCATCTGATCTTCTCAACGGCCTAGGAGGGGTTAGATTTCTGTTGGAGGGAAGGGCTACCTTTTTACAGCAAGAATCTCATGCGTCCTGCTGAACAAACTGAACCCCCCCCAAATGTCCCACAGTCTCAGGTTCCTTTTCCCCACGTCTCATAGCCCCCTGCCGCCGCCCCCCCACCCCCTGCTCCAGAGGTAACACTGTCCAGAAATTTCCCATCCACACAGACACATAGAAATGTCTTTTTGCAAAGAACAGGGGCCTGTCAGCATCAAGGGTTTCACTTCTGAGTAGCACACTTGTCCTTGAGCTGAGAGGACAGGAGAGCGCTCACGAGGAGAGTTCAGAGGTGTTGGCGAGTCGGGGGAGGAAACCGTGCCGGCTTAAGGGAGATGGAATCAAATCTACAAACTTAAGGTTAAAACTTCAATAAGCTAATCAGATGTGGGAATAGACATTTAACTAGGGATTGCCAAACCTGGAGGTTTTTCACCATAAACCTACACTGCTGACGTGAGTAATTCTTGGGAGCAAAGTCCAGCAGGCAGAGCGCCCGAAAGTCCTGCTGTCCCCTGCCCTGCCAGGGCTCTCCGTCCACACGGGGCCCACTGCCTCCTACTGAGAACCGAAGACCACTTCCTGAAGTCCGAGAAAAGGTGCAGGACAGCTTCGGGAGGCTAACCCGCAGGTAACCTACTTCCTGGCGCTCGGGGGCTACACCTTTGCTCTGGGTTTGATCCGGCTCTGAGCCTCCAGCCAGAAGCCTCTCTGGCCCCACACAGTGAAGTACACTGAATAGCTGACCTACTGCAGTGTTGACCTTCTCCAGGAATGTAGCTTAATCAGTAGGTGTCAGTGAGGCACTGAGTCACCGTGGGCCTCTCTGTCCCGGAAGGGAGGGAAGGAGCTGGTGCCACATGCCTGATAAGACCGGCCTCCCCCTGAGGGAACCTTGCCTGAAACTGTCCTTTCTGCTCTTCAGCTGGTAACATTCTTGTCCCACCCAGTTTCTGCCTGTGGATGCCTTCCCCAGCGCACACCTCCTGGGGCTCCTACGCCAGCTGGATGCCTGCTGCCTGGTGCGTGAATCCCTCAAAAAGCAAATCAGATGTGCCGATTGGCCTGGCTGAAAGTTTGTCCTTCAGCACAGCCAGACGGCTGCCTCAGACCAGTGGTTAACAGACCTCACGGGTGAGCGGGACAGCATTTTCTCTGAAGTGCTGGGTCCTGACTTACCTTTCTCGCCAGTCACACCCAGAACTGACTCCCGGAGGAAGCCTCTGCCTGTGTCACTGACCACAGAGAGGACAGAGCAAAAGTCAGGGGGCTGGGAGCTCTCAGAGATGAGAGGGGTGGGGTGGGGGGCACCTATGAGTCACCGAGTCCAGCCTTCCAGCCCTGGCAGGAGCTCAGCCCAAGAAACACTCCGGGCAGAGGGTCCAGCAGACCCTTGAGGACACCCCAAGTGACCGGAAGCCCACTTACCTGCCACAAGGCAGCTCCGGCAGCTCCAGGGCGGCTCTGACTGGTCTGTACTGCTCGCCCAGGCCTTGTGCTCTTACAGGGGACTCCAGAGTAGAAAATTTTTAGTTTAAGTAATACCTAAGCAGCTTAGCACTCAGGCATGCAAAAGCTGTGGTTCCAGGGTCGGAAGGTGGGACCCACCCTGACTCCGGAGACCAGAGGCAGTTCCACCTTTGTGCCCCAGGAGGACTGCAAGCCATCAGGATGGAATCTGAGCCATTGTGCTCCAGGGGGAGACGCCCACTGCCCAGGACACAGCTAAGACCACCGCCCAGGGTGAGAACCCTGCAGTTTTCATAATCCAAGTAACTTGTCTTGAATTCCAAATCCCTTACCTACACTTTGTTCGCCTCATAAAAAGGGCCACTTCGAAATGGAATTTAAGACAGCCCATTAGGGTTGGACCTGCCGTCTTCTCAGGTCGGTGGCATCTGAATGAAGTGCCCACAGAGATTCAGTCCCTGTCTCTGCTTATTGGGTCTGATAGGTGACAGGCAGCGCAAAGGCCCGCTGTTCCTTCCAGTGTCACCCTAAAGCAGCACCGAGACCGAGTCCACCCCATTTCACGCCGAAGCCCTTCGGACGCGGGGACACGCACAGCAACCAGAGCTAGGCCAGTGCCGAGAGCTGGTGGCACTGACGGCAGGCGGGACCAGGGGGCAGAGGGTAGCGGGTGCGAACCCTGCGTCCCCACCTCCGAGCCTGCGTGATGTGGGGCTGGACACTCGGGTTCTCGGTGCCCACGCACAAAACACTGAGGGCTACTTCCTCCCCACACTGCCTTAGGAGACACCCTGTAAGGCTCAACGCAAGTCTTTCTTGATTTTTTGTTTTTTTATGTTTGTTTTCTTTGTTTTGAGAGAGAGACCACCAATTGCATGCGCCCAGGTTTGCAAGCCTGCCTGCAATGACAGCGAACAGCCAGGGCGTTCTCTGAAGTCCGCCTCCCCCCTCGTGGGCACTGCCCCTCCCTGACCGGCCCCCGCCCCGGGCTCCGCCAGCAATAGCACCTGCCAGGGGAGTCACTGAAAAGAACATTGGCAAGGAGAGGCGGGACGCTGTCAGCTCGTCACTGGGCGCAACCACTGGCCGAGTTGCAGCCCTGTCCGGCACCATCTGCAGGG